GGTGTGCAGGAGGCAGCTGGTCGATGATTCTCTCTCATCGATGTTTCTAACTCTCTATCCCTCTCCCTTCCTCTCTGTAAAAAATCAAATATATATATATATATATATATATATATATATATATATATATATATCAAGGGTTAAAGACAAAGAGAGAATATTAAAAGTTACCTACAAGGGAGCACCCATATGGCTGTCAGCTGATTTCTCAACAAAAACTATGCAGGCCAGAAGGGAGTGTCAAGAGATATTAAAAGAGATGAATAGCAAGATTACTCTACCATCAAAGCTATCATTTAGAATTGAAGGTCAGACAAAGAGCTTCACAGACAAGAAAAAGCTAAAGAAGCTCATCACCTACAAACCAGTAATACATGAAATGTTGAAGGGTATTTCTTAAGAAGAGGAAGAAGAAGGAGAAGGAGAAGGAGAAGAGATTTAAAAATGTGGCCAAAACCGGTTTGGCTCAGTGGTAGAGCATCAGTCTGCGGGCTGAAAGGTCCCAGATTCGATTCCAGGGGCATGTATGTTGGTTGTGGGCACATCACCAGTAGGGAGTATGCAAGAGGCAGCTGGTCGATGTTTCTCTCTCATCAATGTTTCTAGCTCTATCTCTCTCCCTTTCTTTGTGTAAAAAAAAATAAAATATATTTTTTTAAAAGGATAAGAGATCCTTCTAAAAATAAAAAAATATATGAATAATAAAATGGCAATAAATACATGTCTATTAACAACCTACAGTTGGAAGTCCAACAATTGAATCTAAAAAGCAAAATAAAATTAAAAAAAAAAAACAACAAGGAATCTAACAAACAAAATAAACTGATAAATAAGATAGAACCAGAGTCATGGAAACATAGAACATACTGATGAATCTCAGAGGGAAGGGCAGAGGGGGGCAGAAAGAGATTAACCAAAGATTTTATATGGATATTAGAGGCCCAGTGCACAAATTTGTGCACAGGTGGAGTCCGATTGGGCCAGACCCAATCAGGGCAAATTAGGACTGGTCCTACCAGGGAGAGGGGCCATGGGAGGTTGGCCAGCTGGGCTCACTCCTGATCAAATGGAGGACTGATCAGGGGTAGGGCTAGTATGGGGGAGGGGTCACAAGAGGTTGGCTTGCTGGCCCCACCCCTGATTGGGGTGGGGAGCTGATTGAGGGTGGGCAAAATTGAGAGACAAAGGGAAGGTCTCTAGACCTGACTGGCTGGGGGACAGGGCCACATGGGGGAGAGGGGATGGAGACTGGCCACCCCCCCACCTCGATTGGGGTAGGGGAGGCCAATCGGGGGTGGGGCCGGCTGGGGGGCCCCAGTGCACATAATTCATGCACAGGTGGGGTCTCTAGGCCTGGCTTGAGATCAGGGCCAATCAGGGCCTTCCAGCTTCCAGCTGGGGCCCTCCCTCCTATGGCTTCTCCCCACCTTCCTGCTGGCTGTCAGCTGCTGGTCAGTGCCTGCTGGACAGGGATAAGGACTGCAGGAGGTTGGCTGTGGGAGTGCAATGACCATCAGGGGGCAGCTCCTATGCTGAGCATCTGCCCCCTGGTGATCAGTGCACATCATAGCCACTAGTTCTGTTCATTCCAGTTGTTCTGGCATTCTGGTTGCTTAGGCTTTTATATATATAGCTATGTATTACCTATGGACTCAGACAATAGGGTGGTAAAGGCCTGGGGCAGGGTGGGAACCAGGTGGAGGGGGACCATGAGGGAAAGAAAAGGGAACATGTGTAATACTCTCCATACTAAAGATTAAAAAAAAAAAAAAAAAAAAAAAAAAAAAAAACCACATCTACCAGCCTCCCTTCCAGAGCCATGAGGTGTGCCTAAGTCAGGCCCTCATCAACTCAAGTGATGTGTACAACTTCTTTTAAATGAAGATGCTGATCCTTGATTTCTTCCTTCTTCCTTTCTTCTGGCTGGGGAACAATGACAACAGGAGCATATATAAAGATAGAAGCCATTTGTTGTAGATGTCAAAGCCAATTCACTAAATGACCTCGTGAAGAAAAAGAATCTACACGTCCCAGACCAGCCATTTATTTTTGTGGTTTTTTAAAAAAATATATTTTACTGATATTTCATGGAGAGGAGGAAGGGAGAGAGATAGAGAGCCAGAAACACCGATGAGAGAGAAACATCGACCAGCTGCCTCTTGCACACCGACTTGATAGAGTTGTCCGTGCTGGCACCGGGCCAGGCCTTGAGATACGGTATCATGGCCCCTTCCCAGCACATACGCCTTCTTTCATAGATCACTGTCAGCTTTCTGAAGAACAGGATGACCCTGTAAATAACATGGTTATCAATAACATGACCCTGACATTAAAAACTGTTTTGTCTTAAATTGCTTGCTCTGCAAAAACAGGATGTGGTTAATGGGCTTAAAAGTGGTCCTGCACAAAGGGTCGGGGCTGCTCTCCAGACTCCCTGTGTGGAAAAAGGTAGAGCAGTCATCAGCCGGCTAATAAAGGCTCCCTAAATTTGAATTTGGTCTGGACTCCAGTGGTTGTTCACTTGCGTTCGCTCCACTACATGTGCTTTAGACTGATAATTGAACCCCAGACCCTTTGGTGTGCAGGCTGTTGCTCTAATCATTGAGAGACACCATCAAGGGTGAAACAAAAGTTTTTAATTTTGATGCTGTCCAATTCATCTGTGTTTTTCATTGGTTGCTTGTGCTTTCGATACCGTGTTTAAGAACCAGGATCCTGCCCTACAGGTTTGGCTCAGTGGATAGAGCATTGGCCTGCAGACTGAAGGGTCCTGGGTTCAATTCCAGTCAAGGGCACATGTCTGGGTTGCATGCTCAATCCCCGGGGCGGGGGGGGGATGTGCGGGAGATAGCCAATCAATGTTTCTCTCTCATCATTCATGTTTCTATCTTTCTCTCCCTTCCTCTCTGAAATCAATAAGAATATATATATATATATATTTAAAAAAAAAAAAAGAATCAGGACCCTTCAGTCTGCAGGCTGATGTTCTATCCACTGAGCCAAACCAGCTAGGGCTACTCCTGATTTCTTCTAAGAGACTTACGGTTTTAGCTCTTACAGTTAGATTTTTGATGATTCTGAGTTATTTTTTATATATGATGTGAGGTACAGGATGTTTCATTCTTTTGTGTGTGAATATCCAATTATCCCAGCACCATGTGTTGAAAGAGTATAACCCTCCAACCCTCACCCCAGTGAATTGTCTTGAAACTCTTGTCAAAAATCAATTAACCACAAATGTGAGGGTTTGTTTCTGGACTTTTATTTCTCTTCCATTGACCTATATGTCTGCAGAAGGATGGTTTTTAAAAGGCAGGATACAGGTGTATTCTGGCTGCTTCCTACTACTTTTAGCAACTCATAACTTAGAAATGATCCCAGGCAAGAACTGGACACTTCGCAAACCAAGATGAACAGAAGCAGAATTCAGCAAAAGGAGGAGGCATTTTTCTCCGTTAGTCTGATATCTAAGTTTACTATGAGTCCAGAGATTTGGACTCTTGTGGGTTGACAAGGTCACTATTTTTTTTTTAATATATTTTTATTGATTTCAGAGAGGAATGGAGAGGGATAGCGAGATAGAAACATCTATGATGAGAGAGAATCATTGATCAGCTGCCTCCTGCATGCCTTCTAGGAATCTGCAACCTGGGCATCTTCCCTTGGCTGGAATCGAACCTGGGACCCTTCCACTCACAGACTGACACTCTATCCACGGAGCCAAACCAGCTAGGGCCAGAAGAGGTCTTTAGGTGTGGGAATATGAAACTGACTAAAAACAAATAGACCAAAAATCCACTAAATGTTTGAAAAAAAAATCTATCTCATATAATAAAAGCCTAATATGCAAATTGGCTGTCACTCCATCACACAAGATGGCTGCCCCCTGCCGAAACCGGTTTGGCTCAGTGGTAGAGCGTCGGTCTGCGGACTGAAAGGTCCCGGGTTCGATTCCGGTCAAGGGCATGTACCTTGGTTGCAGGCACATCCCCTGTAGGGGGTGTGCAAGAGGCAACTGGTCGATGTATCTATCTCATCGACGTTTCTAGCTATCTCTCTCCCTTCCTCTCTGTAAAAAAACAATAAAAAAAATTTTAAAAAAGATGGCTGCCCCCATGTGGACACAACATGGCTGCCACAAGATGGTCAGCAGGGGAGGGCAGTTGGGGGATACCAGGCCTGCAGAGGAGGGCAGTTAGAGGCAACCAGGCATGCAGGGGAAGGCAGTTAGGGGTGACCAGGCCCGCAGTGGAGGGTAGTTAGGGGTGACCAGGCTGGCAAGGGAGGGCAGTTGAGGGTGTCTGGGCCTGCAGAGGAGGGCAGTTAGGGGCAATCAGACACTTTGGCGCCTCCAGGACACAGGTGTTTTCCCCTCAAGCTATTTGCAAAACATGAGTTTATGTATAGAGATGCAGATGGGAACAAAACCAACTCCATCCTCGCGTACCAGATTCTATTTCATTTTTTAAGTTTTAATGCCATGGTCTTTTACCAAACTCACTGCCCTGCTAACTAATGTTTATCTGTGTTCCTTAAAATGTAGTCGCACATACAAGTATTATTTTAGTAACGCCTAGAATGGCATGACAACTATTACCAAGTTGGTAATAGAATCAATTATAAAGGATCATTCATCTAAAGAGCATCAGGGCTCATTGAACGCGGGGACACCAGCTCTGGTCGGTCTGTGCCAGCCGAACGCGCACAGCAGCAACCATGTCGAAGGGACCTGCAGTTGGCATTGATCTTGGCACCACCTACTCATGTGTGGGTGTATTCCAGCATGGAAAAGTGGAAATAATTGCCAACGATGAGGGAAACCGAACCACCCCGAGTTATGTTGCCTTTACTGACACTGAACGATTGATCGGTGATGCTGCAAAGAATCAAGTAGCAATGAATCCTACCAACACGGTCTTTGATGCCAAGCGCTTGATTGGACGTAGGTTTGATGATGCAGTTGTACAGTCTGACATGAAGCACTGGCCTTTCATTCTCTCATGGTGGTGAATGATGCTGGCAGGCCTAAGGTCCAAGTGGAATACAAGGGAGAGACAAAAAGCTTTTATCCAGAGGAGGTGTCAGCCATGGTTTTGACAAAGATGAAGGAAATTGCCGAAGCCTACCTTGGGAAGACTGTTACCAATGCTGTTGTCACAGTACCTGCTTACTTCAATGACTCTCAGCGGCAGGCCACCAAAGATGCTGGGACTATTGCTGGTCTCAATGTACTTAGAATCATCAATGAGCCAACTGCCGCTGCTATTGCTTACGGTCTAGACAAAAAGGTTGGAGCTGAAAGAAACGTGCTGATCTTTCATTTGGGAGGTGGCACCTTCGATGTGTCAATCCTCACAATTGAAGATGGCATCTTTGAGGTCAAATCCACAGCTGGGGACACCCACTTAGGCGGAGAAGACTTCGACAACCGAATGGTCAACCATTTCATTGCCGAGTTCAAACGCAAGCACAAGAAGGATATCAGTGAGAACAAGAGGGCTGTCCGTCGCCTTCGTACTGCTTGTGAACGCGCTAAGTGTACCCTCTCTTCCAGCACCCAGGCCAGTATTGAGATTGATTCACTCTATGAAGGAATCGACTTCTATACCTCAATCACACGTGCCTGATTTGAAGAATTGAATGCTGACCTTTTCCGTGGCACCCTGGACCCTGTAGAGAAAGCCCTTCGGGATGCCAAGCTTGACAAGTCCCAGATCCATGATATTGTCCTGGTGGGTGGCTCTACTTGTATCCCCAAGATTCAGAAACTCCTCCAGGACTTCTTCAATGGAAAGGAGTTGAATAAGAGCATCAACCCTGATGAGGCTGTCGCTTATGGTGCAGCTGTCCAGGCAGCCATTCTCTCCGGAGACAAATCTGAGAATGTTCAAGACCTGCTGCTGCTGGATGTCACCCCTCTCTCCCTTGGCATTGAGACGGCTGGCGGCGTCATGACTGTCCTGATCAAGCGCAACACCACCATCCCCACCAAGCAGACGCAGACCTTCACCACCTACTCCGACAACCAGCCGGGCGTGCTCCTCCAGGTTTATGAAGGTGAGCGTGCCATGACCAAGGACAACAACCTGCTTGGCAAGTTTGAACTCACAGGCATACCTCCTGCACCTCGTGGTATTCCTCAGATTGAAGTCACTTTTTATATTGATGCCAACGGCATCCTCAACGTCTCTGCTTTGGATAAGAGTACAGGAAAGGAGAACAAGATTACCATCACCAACGACAAGGGTCGTCTGAGCAAGGAAGACATTGAGCGCATGGTCCAAGAAGCTGAGAAGTACAAGGCGGAAGATGAAAAGCAGCGGGACAAGGTGTCTTCCAAGAATTCACTTGAATCCTATGCATTCAACATGAAAGCAACTGTTGAGGATGAGAAACTTCAAGGCAAGATCAATGATGAGGACAAACAGAAGATTCTCGACAAGTGCAATGAAATCATTAACTGGCTTGATAAGAACCAGACTGCAGAAAAGGAAGAATTTGAACACCAGCAGAAAGAGTTGGAAAAGGTCTGCAACCCCATCATTACCAAGCTGTACCAAAGTGCAGGGGGCATGCCAGGAGGAATGCCTGGGGGCTTCCCCGGTGGCGGAGCGCCTCCCTCTGGCGGTGCCTCCTCCGGGCCCACCATTGAAGAGGTGGACTAAGCCAGCTTAAGCATAGATCTAGCATTGTTCCACACAAAATATTGAAGGACCCAAATTTGTAGCAAATTCCTTGGCAGTTTTAAAAGTTAAGCTGCTGTATAGTAAATAACTGGGCATCCTTGATACTTGAATACGGACTGTGCACAGGGAAAGGAAATATAATGCACTTTATAACTGTATTGTAAAGTGGAAAATGCGATGTCTTAAATAAAACTATTTAAAATTGGCAACAAAAAAATAAAAAAAATAAAAAAAATAAAGAGCATCAGGAAGGATACCCCTGGTGCTACCGCAATCTTTGTCCCTTTGTCTTGTCAAGCTTTATTTTTTTTTTTTTTTTTTTTTTTTTTTTTAATATATTTTATTGATTTTGTACAGAGAGGAAGGGAGAGAGAGAGAGAGTTAGAAACATCGATGAGAGAGAGTCATCGATCAGCTGCCTCTTGCACACCCCCTACTGGGGATATGCCCGCAACCAAGGTACATGCCCTTGACCGGAATCGAACCCGGGACCTTTCAGTCCCCAAGCCGACGCTCTATCCATTGAGCCAAACCGGTCCCGGCTGTCTTGTCAAGCTTTAGTATACGAGTCACACTACTTTCAAAAGTACAGTAGCAGGGGCTTGTTAGGGGAGAATAATTTGCACAGAACTTCTGGCCCTCTAACTTTGCTTCCACTTTATTTTTTTTAAGATATATTTTTATTGAACAGTATGGAATTTCCTCAAAAAACTGAATATGAAACTCCCATTTGACCCAGTAATCCCACTCCTAGGAATATATCCCAAGAAACTAGAAACACCAATTAGAAAGTAAATATGCACATAGCAGCACAATCTAGAATAGCTAGGATTTGGAAACAGCCTAGGTGCCCATCAGCAGATGATTGGATCCAAAAACTATGGTACATCTACACAATGGAATACTATGCTGCCATAAAAAAGAAGGAATTCTTATCATTTACAGCAACCTGGATGGAAATAGAGAACATCGTGCTGAGTGAAATAAGCCAGTCAATGAAAGAAAAACACCACACGATCTCACTCATTTATGGATAATGAACAACATTATAAACTGATGAACCAAAAGATAGATATAGAGACAGTAAAGCAACAAGCAGACTGTCAAATTACAGCGGGGAGGGGAGGGAGATCTGGGGGAGATAAGAGGTCAACCGATGGACTTGTATGCATGCATATAAGTACAACCAATGGACACAAAACTCTGGGGAGGGAGGGCATGTATGGGAGTGGGGGGGCGCAATGGTAAGATATGTACACATATAATACTTTAATAAAAAAAATAAGAAAAAAATATATTTTTTTATTGATTTCAGAGAGGAAGGGACAGGGAGATAGAAACATCAGTGATGAGACAGAATCGTTGATTGGCTGCCTCCTGCACACCCCAGTCCCCAGGCATGTGCCCTGGCGTAGAATCAAACTGCAATCTCCTGGCATCATAAGCTGGTGCTCAGCCCCTGAGCTACATGGGCTGGGAGACCTTACTTCCATGTTAGAAAATGATCCTACAATAACTTGTGTTACAGTCTGTGGAATTACCCACATCATCCTTTGGTCTCAGATGCCTTCTCATTACAGTGCTCAGCACACATCTGCCCCACCAGCAGGAGATTGAAAACCTAAGCAAAAGGCCTCTGAAAAGCCAAGTGGAACTCCCCGTGGCCTCACATATGGGGATTAGAGTTCACGATGCCCCAGGAAGAGCCCTGGAGTAGACACCAGATTCTCAGATAAAAATCTGGGAGGCCCATGGGTGAGCCAGAGGTAGACGAAGCACTATCAGGACTGCAGCTCAGCCTTGTCTTATCATCGTTCCTGAGTGTACTAAGGTGAGCACCCACAACTCAGTTTCTATAGCATAGGGAATACCGAACCTCTTCTGAAGGAGGAGAAATTATCTAAACTAGCTACAAATTTTATACCCAATGGCCAGCACTCAACCAAGCATTATTAAACACTAGAGGCCCGGTGCACAAAATTCGTGCACTGACGGGCGGGATCCCTCAGCCCGGACTGCACACTCTCGAAGTCTGGGACTCCCCAGGGGATGTTTGCCTGTGGGGGTCAGGGAGGGGGAGAGAGAAGAGGGGGATCGGACCTATGCTGGCAGTCAGACTCCCTCTCACAGTCCAGGGCTCTTGCAGTCCGGGATCCCTCACTCTTTATTAAAATAAATAAATATCCTAAAGACAGAAAAAATAGTTCTGTATCCTACTTACCAATCTTATTTCACCATCATTTCCCATGACTATATAAATCTCAGCCTCTCATATCTCCTCTGCATCAGCTTATCATATCCTCAGTCCTTCTGAATAAGTTCAATAAAATATTAAATACACTCATGATTCATTTGCATGATAAATATGCTTTCACACACACACACACACACACACACACACACACACAGTTTTTAAAATTGATTTGAGAGAGAGAGGGAAACACTGGTCTTGTTGCTCCCCTCATTTACGCATTCATTGGTTGTTGCTTGCATGTGCCCTCACCCGGGAACCCACGAACGTGGCACAACCAGACGATGCTCTAACCACCTGAGCTCACTGGTAGGGCCTGAGAACTATGCTTTTTAACAATTTGAAGATTATGCTTGGAAAGCCATGGAGGTGGATGAGTATGCATAGGGAAGAGGGCAAATAATAATACCAGAGACCAGTCCTATCCAGTTTGGCTCAGTGGATAGAGCATTGGACTGCGGACTGAAAGGTCCAGGTTCAATTCTGGTCAAGGAGCATCTTGACCAGAATGTGGTACCTTGGTTGTAGGCACATCTCCAGTAGGAGGAGTGCAGGAGGCAGCTGGTTGATGTTTCTAACTCTCTATCCCTCTCCCTTCCTCTCTGTAAAAAATTCAATAATATATATATATTTTTTTTTAGCCGGGACCGATTTGGCTCAGTGGATAGAGCGTCAGCCTGGGGACTGAAAGGTCCCGGGTTCGATCCCGGGCAAGGGCATGTACCTTGGTTGCGGGCACATCCCCAGCAGGGGTGTGCAAGAGACAGCTGATCGATGATTCTCTCATCGATGTTTCTAACTCTCTATCCCTCTCTCTTCCTCTCTGTGAAAAATCAATAAAATATATTTTAAAAAATTAAAAAATAAATAATTTGGGGGGGGGAAATATATATATATAAAATAATACCAGAAACCACCTGCATCAAGTGGGGTGTGGGAGCTCAGGAACTTGAGAAAACAGGATTGTCAGGAGGATGAGGGTTATTTGTGATGAAGTACAGTGGGAGATGCTCAAGCTAAAAGAAAGTGTCTGTGGAGAAGGGTATTTTATACATCTTAAAAAATCCAACAGACACTTATCAAGTGCCTAGAAACTAGAAAAAATCGTAAAAGCACAATCCCTGTCCTCGTGGAGTTAAATTCCTATTCCAGCGGATTATGAAAATCTCCCACTCAACTCTCACAGCCCCCGATTTTCATTCAACTCTTGGCCACCCAACATCCATCACCCCCAGAAAACCACCGGAGCCTTACCTGTCTCCTTCAGGCCCTGCGAGCAGACAGGATTTCGCTCAAAGAGCAGGGAAAACAGGAGGCAGGAGGCAACTAGAGGGGAGAGAGATGAAGACCTGAAGTCTGAGGCTGAAAGAAGGGCAAGTGAAGGACACGTCAAGGTCAGAGAACAGGGCTGGTGATGGGGTTGAGCTGGGGGTGGAGAAGGAGAAAGAGGGATAGGATGCTGAGTTGTGGATGGGGCTGGAGACACAGTTGGGTTGGCAATGGAGTTGGGGTTGGGATTGGGGTTAGGGTTGGGGTTGGGGTTGGGTTTGGGGTTAGGGTTGGGATTAGGGTTGGGTTTGGGGTTAGGGTTGGGATTAGGGTTGGGGTTGGGGTTGGGGTTGGGATTAGGGTTGGGGTTGGGGTTAGGATTGGGGTTGGGATTGGGGTTAGGGTTGGGATTGGGGTTGGG